TATATATATATATAGCAAGTAACTGTGCAGTAAATCCTTTCTTTGGTTCTAATCCAGGTAATAAACTCCTAAAGTAAAAATCTGATTAAGTACTGCTTGCATCTAAAACAAAGAAGAGGATAGCATTTGAGGTCAGAATTAACTGAAATGTCTAAACCAAAAGTATACCCTGAAACAAAGATGCAATTAACCTTTGACTCCTTTAGATAGTCTGTCCTTCTGAAGTACCCAAAGATACAAAAATAAAAATGAAGGAGAGAGAAAGGGTCAGGGTAGAAGATACAGCAATGATAATTTTTACATATAGTTGATCCTCATATTTGCAAATGTGCCTACTTGCTAAAATTTAGCTATATCCCCAAATCAATACTCAGAGTGCTTTTGCCCTCATTTACAGACATGTGCAGAGTGGCAAAAAAAAGTTTAGTCACCCAACTTGTACCTTCCCACAGCTGAGGTCGAACAAGGCAATGCTATACCTTATTGTTTTAGCTTTCATTACTGTAAACAAGTATACTTTTCACAATCCATTTAGTGTCATGTTTTTCACATTAGTTGGCAACTTTGTTGTTTAAGACGGCCCTCAAGCATAAGTGATGCCTAGTGTTCCTACGTACAAGAAGATTGTGGTGTGCCTTATGGAGAAAATACGTGTTAGATAACCTCTATATGATCTATAGTGCTGCTGGCCATGAGTTCATTGCTAATGAATCAACAATATATATTGAGTAGGTGTTTTTAAACAGAAACACATATAAAACAAGGTTATGTACTGATCGGTTGACAAAAGTACTGTGACCAAGGGCTCACAGGTATCTAACTCTGTATTTCCCCTAGCAGCAATGATTTAGTATTTGCTAATTCAGTGTTCATGGTGACTTCGTAGAACATAGCTACCATAAACAATGAGAATCAATTGTATCTGTACTGTATTTCCCATTTTAATATCACTATAGAATGGCTGATAGATTACAAATCATTTCTAAGATTTTGCAAATTAGAAAGCCATTTCTTTTTTTTTCCTTTTTTTGGACAGGGTATCCCTCTGTCGCCTGGGCTAGTGTGCAGTGGAATCATAGTAGCTCACTGCAACCTCAAACTCCTGGGCTCAAGGGATCCTCTCGCCTCAGCCTTCCGAGTACCTGGGACTACAGGCTTGTGCCACCATGCCCAACTAATTTTTCTATTTTTTGTAGAGATGGGGGCCTCACTCTTGCTCAGGCTGGTTTCAAATTCCTGGCCTCAAGCGATCCTCCCACCTCAGCCTCCCAAAGTGCCAGAATTATAGGCGTGAGCCACCACACCACACCTGGAAAGGCAATTCTAATAAAAACATACATTTAAACAAAATTTTGTTAATAACATACTATTTTGCTTTGGTATAAAGTTGATTATAATGAGATTTTACCTTTATTAGAGTCAAAAGTTTGAAAATAGTAACATTTTATTTCTTTTATAATTGTTTCTGTAACAACTTGATAATAACTTTATTGTCAATGTTTTCTGACTAATCTGAACCTTAATTTACTACTGTATACCTAAAATTTTTATTAAGATTCTTTCAAGAACTAAAGTCTTTATAATAAGAGAAACAGCGAATTGTCTT